CATTGAATATATGTAAGTGGCTACTCCGAAGGAGCTTAGCGCTTAAGAAAGAGTTCGCAATGAGTAGTTAGGATGTCGAAAAGAGCTCTATGGAGTGGAACTCGTCCGCGACTTGTTCCAGTACCAGTACATGAAGCGGCGAACAAAACTAGCCACAATCCAACACTTCAATAAAGCTGAATTACTAAAACAGCCTCTCGATTTACTCAGCCAAGAGACGCTATGTTCCCTGCTACAAATTGGACAACTTTATATCGTTTGATCAATATTTATGCACACGATTGATATCGACTATGTCAGCCACCGAAACGAGAAAGTGCATTGCCTCTATCTCCCATGGAATCGATCGCGGAAACACATTATTACTCATTTCATAAGGAAAACGAGTCTCGGTATTCACTGGCTTGTTTCCAAAAAGGAAAAGCCCTTTATCTTGCTCATTTGTGATCATTCACGATTGCCGTCCCATTTGCATCCTAAGGTCGTCTCCACGATGTTTTTACAAACCTGTGACCACATAGGTGCACAACATGTTTTCTCAACGCTAAGCGATATCGCTTCTCACACATGCAATATTTGAATACAATTTTACGGCCACTTAAACCTGAACGACCAAGTTTCCATGGCTCTCTAAGTACCTTTCCTTTCCCTTACTTCGAACATTCGAATCGTTACAAATCTAGTCCACCACCGGAATCCACTTTTTCAAAAGGTAGAAGCAGTGACACAACCTTGACAAAAACAGACACTAAAGTTAGATGTGCAGGTGGTCGCGGGGCGGTCTTGGATGAACCTGCGACGCGGCTGCGTGCGCGCTGACGTGGTGAGACGTCATGTATGGATTTCTAGTTCACGAATTTCTCATCTTTCTTCTTTTGTGGTCTGTCACAGGGATGGTGATAAATGCCATGCGACAGCTCCCTACGTTGGGTTTAGCTCATGCATCATCTCCTCTTCTCTGGGAGTCGTTTTCCGCATGGTGAGGTGACGCGTTTGGCCGTACACCGCCATTTTTGCCGTCTTCAGAGTCCCTCTTCGATTTTATTTGTCGTCTGCCTTCATTTCTCATATTGATTGCATTGAAATTTACTCTGAAATTCAAGTGAATCTATTCCAGAATGGGTAACATTTTCGGGAATCTTTTCAATTCTGGTTTCGCGCCCCGCCCCAACTGCGACTATTGCGCGATTGTAAATGCGAGTTCCGACACGTACCTCACAACGCGCCCATGATATTGGTTTTTTTTTCAAGGATGTTTTCTACTGAGGCTTTTATTATCATGCGTAGTCGCAGTGCTGAGGTCTAAAGAATCCAAAACCGTTCTGGGCACTCAATAGTGGCCGACTTTCGGTGCTAAGTGGGTTGGGGGGACCACGCGGCGGCGCGGCGCTCTGTTCGTCTGCTCCTCCAAGGCTTAGTCCGCCGATGGCGCGTATTTCGAAACTGCCACGTGGCGACGAAATAGTAACTGCCCCTTGGACTAAGGGTTTACGGACTACTTGATTTTTCCTCAATGGTCCTGCCGCGATGGCTAGAGCACAGACGATTAGAGAACGGGTGAATGCCCTAGGACTAAGCCTTGGAGAGGAGAGGGACCCGCGAGAGCGCAGAGGCGGTTCAAAGGGCTGAGTTCAAGTAGTCCGTCAACCCTAACTAGACCTTAGAAGAGCAGACGAACAGAGCGCCGCGCCGCCGCGTGGTCTCCCCCAATCCATTTTAAGCACCCGACTTTCATCGTGGGCAACTTTTTTCAAAAAAATTATCTCTATTACAATCGAGAGGCAAGTATGAAAATCTGCAAAATAAGTTTAGAAATTATTCAGCCACGTCCTATATGACTGATGACATGTTCTCTTCAGCCTCTGCTTCATAATATACCGGCTTTTGCGACTCCAGTGGGATGAGGCGGCGGCACGAAGACGTACGGAGGCGCTTCTTGCTATGGCCGAAGACGATGAGAGAGACGGTCGACGAGAGGCACAAGGTCCGTTTTCCTTAATTGGTGATCCCTTTTGTCTTAATAATTAGATAGTTTAGTTGCTGGCGGACGGCGTCGAGTTGTTCGTCGCCGAGTACAACATGGTGAGGACGATTTCATCAATCAGGTGCTCGGGCCAGAAGTTCCGGAAGGTATTTAGATATTTTACTGATTCCCCAGTCCAACCGATACACGTGGATTGATTCCAAATCGGAATCCATACTATTAACTTAGGCTCATCTTGTTTTTTTTGTGTTTTTGGTACTTGTGATCAAAATTAATTAAGATTCCGAAGAAGAGGGGGCAGTACCGCTGCTCCAGACCGACGAGAAAATCGGCAAAAGAAAAGCAGCAAAGTTGCAGGCGAAGGCAGAGAAAAAGGCCATGCGAGAACAGGTGCGTTATACCATACTGATTGTCCCTCTTTGTATTTATAATTGTGTCATTTAGGAGCTGATCGAACGAGAAGAACGCAAGAGAAGAGAAAAAGAAAGGGAAGAAAAATTAGAAAAGGAAAGAGAAAGGGAACGCATTGAAGAAGAAGCGGAACAAGAGCGATTACGGAAGGAAAAGGAAGAGCGAGAAAAACGAGAGCTGGAGGAGTACCTCGCAGTTAGTTTTTATTGGATCTGTTTTTCACTTTGTTTCGCCATACTCTTTTAAGTTTAAATAAGTATTTCGCTTAACACGTTGACGACATCGCGCGTTTTCGGTTTTTGCACCGCGTGGGACCAGAGCGATTTTGCGAGCGCCGCCGTCGCACACCAAATATTCATAATCTTAATCTCATTTCTCCGTAAGATGTCTTGAAGTATAAATACAATACTTAGATGCGATGAATGTTTTCAATGAATGTTCGACCTGTCTAACTTGTCGGGAGTTACAGTAATGGAAGTTCGACCGAAATTAAGTGTTAAGGCCATGGAAAGGCAAGTTTTACTCCCTTTTCCCTTTAGTTGTTCCAAAACTAGTTTGGACGTGGTTGTTTCAGTAAAAACTTCTCATACGAATAGGTTTGTATTCGCTTCTATTACTCTTTTTCGTCTGTGTGTCAACGTTAATGAAAAAGAAAGAGGGATGAACTGAACAGACATATCCGTAAGGTCTGGAAAACTCTGTCAAACTAAAGAATATTTGGCCTTTCTGTGAGCCATGTGGTTTTTATGCTCATGTATGGCCTATAGAATGAATACAAAGACTTTGAAATAAGTCGCACAAGCACAAGAAAAAGGGATGACTTGGGTGGGATGCGTTACCTTGTGACAATGTCCCACGAGGTGTGCAGTGGGGACGCGTTCCCGCGCCACGCTGTCGTCAACGTGTGAACTTCGCAATGTTCTCTAGCTGTAGTTGGTAATTATTAGAGCTAAATCATTAGGTTTTCCATTGCAGCTCAAAGAGTCATTTGCTGTTGAAGAAGAAGGTTTCGACCAACTTGAGGAAGAAGAATCACACAATCTCATGAAGGAGTTTGCGGATTATATAAAGAAATCTAAGGTGCTTGATCAGTTGATTCATACGAACAAGCAGAATCTTGAGCATCTGCACGCATTCATTGTTCAGGTAGT